CCCCAAAACCCCAAAACCCCTCACTATGCAAATCTAATCATTTATGTGAAATAAAAATTTCAATAAAAATAAAATAAATTTTATCTGCATGATTCAAACATTTTTCATATGAAACTTAACTATAAATCTAACTTGTTAATATCTGCTTATTCTGATTATTTGGAAAATTATATATCGTAATTTCCTTAGAATACTCATTTAGCTCTACCGTAAACATCAATAAAAGACCTATCCTGCACTTTCTATCTGAATGAATTTAGGTCTCTGAGAAATTAACTGTTTATTTATTTTGCTCTCGATCTGATTTTGTCAAAATTTAGAAAACCTTTATGCGCAATTGAATTCACTTACAACTGATTATTGATCTAAGCTCCTTAGAAAAGGGATTAGGTTTGATTCATGTGCTAATACATCTTCCTCCTAAGATCTGGCTGCATTCCTTCAAACAATTCATCACTCTAAAATTAGTGAATTCCTTATTATTCTCTCTTTCTCGAGTAGAAACTCAGACTTTAACTATTTTGCCGCATGCTAAATAGATCTCTCTAAGGAGAAGATGTTAGAGCCTCTCTACTAGAATTAACATATGATTTTTATCTACTAATTCCAAATTTTTGCTTGCTACTAGATTTACTATTAGATTCTGTAGGCTTTTCTTTTTCAAAGTATGATCTTAAATATTTTGTCTATGCTACTACATCATACTTGGTAAGATTAGTCTGCTTTGTTAAATTGAATTCACTTCTAGTTCTTACCATCTATTTTTATACGGATTTAGGCTTCTTTCTGCTTCTATAGCTTAAAAGCATATCGTGAATGTCTCTCTCATCCATATCTAGAGAGTCCTTTTTAAGTTTCTACTCAAAAAACTCCTGTGGAAGCACCTCTAATACATTCTTGAGTATAAAGACATCTGTTTCTTGCAAGCCAGTTTAACCATCCATTCTTAGCTATCTCTCTATCTCTTTCTGAGCTCTGTCCTCTTCTGGATCTATTTTATCTCTCTTAGAGTACTTGCCACCTTATTTTAAGTTATTCATTGAAATACTTTAATTATTAGCTGTCCTATTCAAAACTCGATCTCTTCTCTCACTAATTATAGAAAAATCTTTGTTCTTTCTCGTGGCTCACTCCCTTATTACTCTAGCCTTTTCGCCCATTTATTTTATTAACTTTTCCCTGATAATTCTTAGTACCCTTTCTCTATCCTCGTGATATTTCTCACATTTTCTTATTACTAGAGGAGGAATTTAAACATCTTTTAACCCTTCATAGTGGGCATCTCATTAAACTAAATCAATCAGAGTTTTATTGATTTTCAAGGGCTGCTATAGTCTTTACGAATTTAGAATTTTTGTCAATTATCTTGGCTAAGGTAAGTTCTTTTATTATCTCATAGCTCTTAACAAAGATGTTTATCTAGACTTATAGTAATCATGAGCCTCATCTTCAACATCTTCATTATAAATGTGTCACCCCACAAAAGTTTCATCAAAGTCATTATCATTAGTTAGTTATTAATTTTGCTAAAACTTTTCCTCAACTCCAAAAGACTCTTGTTCTAATCTCATTTTTATTATTTTAATTTAAGTTTTAAGTCTAGTAATTTGGAGTTATTTTGCAATGTCAATACAAATCAATATGTTTTCTACTCATAAAGTTGAAAAGAGCTAGTATCAAAAGGATTTTTAATATAAACAAATGACACCCAATGTATGGCTCATCCCAGGGGAAAACCCAGGTACTTAAATTATGAGTCTATAAATCAATTTAATTAGGGGATGGATTTTTATGTGGCACTAATGTATATATCGTGGGTTAGGGATAAAAGAGATTTTTGATAGATGCTTGTCATAGAAATAACCTGAAATTCC